CTCTCTCTCTCTCTCTCTCTCTCTCTCTCTCTCTCTCTCTCTCTCTCTCTCTCTCTCTCTCTCTCTCACACACACACACACAATGACAGTCAGTACGGTACTCATGTACGGCAACCCGACATGTCATGTCACACACACACACACACACACACACGCACACACACACACACACACGATGACAGTCAGTACTGTAGTCATGTACGGCACCCCGACATGTCATGTCCAATTTGTAGACAGGGGCTGGAATGGCAATGCCTCTATAATTGTGGTCGACGTGCCTCTGTGTTCCTAGCATGTACGAGCTACATAGCCTGTGACATCTGTCTGCGCCGTGCCATTCGATGCAGTAACTGTGACTGCGAAAATTGGATGCGGTGCTTCCATAGCCCACACCCGCTCCATAGAGAAGGAATACATACTGAGGAAGCCCAAGAAAGATGCTCCATACCGTTTTGTGATGACCCGCCAGAGATTCAACTAGCATGTGGTTCACATGCCTTTTGCCGTGAGGATTATGAAGGTATAGTCCATGCGAGTTTTTGCTTCCGTATGTACGATGACAGTCAGTACTGTACTCATATACGACACCCCGACATGTCATGTCCAATTTGTAGATAGGGGCTGGAACGGCAACGCGTCTATAATTGTGGTCAACGTGCCTCTGTGTTCCTAGCATGTACGAGCCACATAGCCTGTGACATCTGTCTGCGCCGTGCCATTCGATGCAGCAACTGTGACTGCGAAAATTGGATGCGGTGCTTCCATAGCCCACACCCGAACCAGTCCTGTCCGGTCTGTAGGGGTGGCCACTCGCCATAGTTTTTTTTTTTTTTTTTTTTTTTTTTGAAGTGCAATAACCCATGCAATATGTCTCGTGGAACTGAGGGCCATCAGAGGCCTACATGGCCGTCCTCAGCCCAGGCCAAATACGGGCAGAAAAGGCCCCTCACGATTTCAGGGCCTGGGCGTGTGACAGTTGACCGAACGGTCCACCCAACAGTCAAAGTCCAAAGGTACCTAGCCTAGGCCGCAGGTCAAGCACACACAATTGTTTGTATGCAGGTACCCAGACAGTATCAGGTCCAAGGGAGAAGTCTGTAACTGAACAATCTGGGCCTTGAGATGTGAGTCAATCTGGACGACTGGGGACAAGGCACCCGAGGCCAGACAGCCTCGACGACTGCTACATAAGGCTGGCCTCAAGCAAGTCCAGCATTCAGTCTGGCTATGCTGGTTCGACGCTGGCTCTTTTTTGACGTGGCGCTGCCTCTGGTGTATGTGGCGCTACTGCTGGTCTACGTGGCATGCTGATGTGGCGCTGCCTCTAGTATATGTGGCGCTGCCTCTGGTCAACGTGGCATGCTGATGTGGCGCTGCCTGGTCTACATGGCATGCTGATGTGGCGCTGCCTTTGGTGTATGTGGCGCTACTGCTGGTCTACGTGGCGGGCTGACGTGGCGCTGCTTCTGGTGTATGTGGCGGTACTGCCGGTCTACGTGGCATGCTGATGTGGCGCTGCCTCTGGTCAACATGGCATGCTGATGTGGCGCTGCCTCTAGTATATGTAGCGCGGCTTCCGGTTTACGTGGCGCTGCTATTGGTCTTCATTGATGATGTGGCATTGCCACCTGTCTTGATTGCTGATGTGGCATTGTCCACGCTGTCTACATGAGGTGATTGGTTGCGAAGAAGAGGAAGATCGGGACTGTGGAGAGATCGTGGATACTTACCTGATTGTCTTCATGTTGACGGCACCGCTCGCTGATGAACTGCTACCGCCTCGGCCAGTACCACCGCGTCAGACCGACCTTCGATTCTGAACACCGCCGCTGCATACACGCCTTCCGTGCAGAAAAAGTGCGCGAGCCACCGAAGATCTGGACTGAGGCGGGGATGATGGATCTGCCGGATCGTCAATCGATCACGGGGCGCAAGCGCTGCTTCGCTGAGGGCTCTTTCCTCCAAAAAACTCATGGCGATGGCGACGGGGAGGCAGAGAGGGAGCAAGAGGAAGAGGGAGATGTCGGAGAGGCAGAGTCRTCGTCGTCGACTTCCTCAAAGAGAGAGAGAGAGAGGGCAGGAGACGGAGCAGAGGGGAGGAGGCGAAGATAGGACACGTGGCGTGTGATTGGACGAGCCGATCGACTGCCAGAGACCTCGGGGGCGAGACGCACGGTGTCCACGCCGTTAGGCCCGAGCTCGATCACTGATTAGATGTGCCATGTGGCACATTGAGGTTACTTTGGATACTTGTTCAGACTATTGATTATTGAGGTGGTAGTCGAGGAGGGAGCCCGAAGCAGGAGTAGGCATTATACTTTCCTCTCCTTTGTCTAATATCCCTCTCTCCTCGTTTGTGTATGATCACCTCATCTCATTCTGTCTGGTTACGATTTTGACTATTGGTATTCATCAGCTGGTTGACATTCATCTGGGCTTGCATTGTTGACAACTGTGTTCACGATCTGGGTTCATTGCAATTTGGTATCGGAGCAACTCTTCATCTCGATCATCTGTCAGCTGTCAGGTGCTGACGTGGCACCCAGGTAAGTGGGAGATGCCGCATGTGCAATATGAACTCTCTTTGGAAGTGTTTGCGTGCCTCTATCTTGACTCGGTTCATACCCCTCTTCTTCTTTCCCATCCCTCTCACCGTCTTTGTTGATGAAGAGAGAGTGGAATTGAAAACCCGTGGACAGATTGACGGAAGGAGACAGACTTTGTTGGGTCTCCTTCGTCAGCAGCTTGGCGAGATACATGGTGCCGGTCCAGAGGCTGAACATCATGTTCACGGACAGGTCAATCTGCGTGATGCAGAAGGAGACATGCAGGCCGCTGAAACTGCTGTTCAGATGATGGAGACAGGCCAGAGGGTGACTTGCTCCTGTTTCGGCATCCCGTACGATTCGGGGACCAGTCTGGCACCAGTTTTCAGCTGCTGTGCTCGTACTCAGTGTGACTTGCTCCTGTTTCGGCATTTGGAATCCAAGACTTCGACTTTGTGTCTTTGCCACTGTGTCTTCATCCGACCCTCGGTCGTGTCGAGTGAGTGAGTGTGTGTGTGTGCTCTCCCTCTCTCCCTCTCTCTCGCCTCCCCCTCGGCTCTTCCTGTTTTCCCTCAGCCTCGCACTCGTCACACTACTGAGCAAAGTGGGTCATGTCTTTTCCTTGGGGGTAGAATCCTGGTTCGGCCAGACGGCTCACTTCGCATGTGTGTTTAATAAGACTGAGGCCTGGACATTCCCTGTCATATGTTATCCCATTGCTTCCTCCAATGCCCCAGCTCATCAGCCAGCAGGTTTGCTCACGGGATAGCTAACGAGGTTTGAATATATTGGTAATACCACCAATTTCAAAGTTGCAGTTACTTCTCTGACACAGCATACGCTTGTTAGGGGCCACCATCCCAGTGTCCTGCCCAGAGGCTGTACTGCATATGTGGGTGCCCGGCAGCACTGGCTACCCACTCATGTCACACGACTTTCGAACTGGTTTTGCCGCATGGTGGTCTGGGCAATTGCTTACCCATATGCTAATTATGCGCACAGGTCCTCCACACAACCACAGACAACAGGCCACCACCCACTCCCTAACACCAATTTTGACCACAGCCAGCACTAGGGCTAAAGCTGCTTCGATATTGGATCTACCCATTTGGGTGGAATAAGGGCTGTTGTGGTGAAAATTCAAAACACACTTTGCAGATTCGAGCGGTTAGGATCGAGCTCGTACTAGTGAGCTATTCTTCTTTTGTGGTTGGAGTTTGTTGGTTGTTATTTGTTTATATACATGGCCTAATTGCTTGCCCTGCTTAAAAGCATGGGCTCTGTTTGATGAAGGAATGTCTGTGGGTGGCCACAATATTTTTCAGGGTGGGAAAGTATGTTTGGAGTTGTAGCCACAGTGTCTTCGCGAGGAGGCTCAGAGTGTTTGCTGTGCCTGTTATGTACCCGATGGGACTTCATTCCACAATGAATTCACATGTTCCCCTACACGCATGCAACTGCAGAGTAGACTCGAAGGAGGCAAATCCACACAAAACCGGAGAGAGATATGCACAGCGGAAGCTTAACAGACAAGAGAATTGAAAAACAAAATTCAATTCTTATTCATCCCTCTTCCTCCTCCAATCAATCAAGAATACTGAATTCCAAGAATCACAACCGCGTTGTCAACAACCCCGAACGACCAATATCAAATGTTCAACGAAGTAGCCACGAGTCTTCTTCTTCCTCCTCGCCACCTCATCACCCTGGCTATGGCTGCTATAGCAGCAGAACCCCCAAACTGTCACCACATGATAATCTGAACTAGCACCTTCGACAATTTACAGCGCCAGCTCAGCGCCCGCACGGGAGTGCGGCGCTGGAATCCTGATGAAGAAGCAGACAACCATGCAGGTGCTTGGACGAACATGAAGTTCCTCGTGAGGAGGAACAACAGTTATGGCTGTCAAGTAGAAAGATGGCAGCGCCCAAACCCAGCAACACAGTCTGGTGGAAACTCTCATGCAGCAATGCAGAACAGCAGCAGTGCCCTTCAACCTCGGTTCCAACTCCAGCTAGGGCTGGACATTGATGAAGAAGACAACCACGCCCAAAATAGTGCTGTAGCACTCGAACAATGGACGGGCTGAGTTTCCCCAGCAGAATTAAACGAGAAAAGACCCCACTCAATTCGTTGCCTAGCTATTTGTACACTCAGCCTAGACCTACGACCAACTCCCAGGGAAACAACCCAAGACTCATCTGTAACTAGATGGAAACAGGGGGAAAAGGGAACCCACACCTATGACAAGGCAAAAGGGAAAAGCTGAATGGCCTAAGACTACCAAACAGGGACTACTAGTGACAGATTCAGGATCAAGCCCAAGAAGGCTCAATACTAACAAACAAAACATACAGGTCACAGGTCACGAGATCGAGTCCCGCAGGCTCAAAACAAAGAAAACAGCAAGAAAACCAACACAACCTGCCTAACAGTTAGTGTACACCCACTATCAAAGAAAACAGCAAGAAAACCAACACAACCTGCCTAACAGTTAGTGCACACCCACTATTACCTGCAAGTTCTTTGCAGTGCGTGTCATTCCCATGAGCTGCTCCTTTGGATCACATGGAAGAAGCGGGGACTCCTAGGGTGTTTTAAGCAGTAGCGCTCCTGGTGTTGCATGAAGATTTTGTGGAGTTTGGTATGATTTATGGTGGCTTTGTGGACCGACACAGAGGGATCTCTTAGTTTTTTCAGACCATTTGCAGCATGGTCGGTGCTTTCTCGCTAGTGGATCCTTTTGTGTTGTGGTGCAACTAATTCTTGTGCTGGGGTCTATACACTCTAGGCGCCAGACAACAGAGTGAAAGGGAGGTTGTCTAGCCACTGAGTGATGGAGATGACGGTGACATGAGTGAGTTGTTTGAGATGAACCCTTGATCCCTTTTTAAAGTACAAGTGGACGCGCAGCAGGCTACGCCTGCGGCATAGCGTGATCTCTCTCTCTCTCTCTCTCTCTCTCTCTCTCTCTCTCTCTCTCTCTCTCTCTCTCTCTCTCTCTCTCTCTCTCTCTCTCTCTCGCGCGCGCGCGCGCGCGCACGCGTTGACACCCTTGAGAAACTGATCGGCCCTTCGTAATTCAGGAATTCGCTTCATCTAGTTCCATCTGGATTCAAACTCAGGTGTGTATTTCAACAGTTTGTGGGTGTAACAACTGAGCTAGGCCCGTCGGTAAGAGGTGGAGAGTTCCATTCACAAAACTTCACAGTGAGGTCAAAAACAATGTCGAACGCCCCCCTCGTCACCAGCAAGGGCACTGTGCGTACTATGCCATTAATGTAATCCTTCTGATTTCGCAGACGTTGTTCGCTGGATACAAGAAGAGCACTGTGCCGTCTGCCCAGAGGATGACAGCGCTGCACCTGGTGTGAGCATAGAAGTCCTGACTATGGCATTTATGGGTAGGCGACTGCAATTTCAGCCTGCTCCGCAAAACCACGTGCCAGGCAGGGATTCAAATATTCGGGCATATATCTTATATCATCCAGGTCTTTTCAGTGCTCTTACCTTTGCAGATAATGCATGGACCCTATGGGACAATGGTGGTAGGGTGCACACAATGGGAATTATTAACTCTTTCTATCACCAATTGTTGGAGGATCACTCAGTCTGGCTCGTCCATCAGGAACAGTGTGTTGATGAGCACTTGCAAGCACTGCACCCCCCGGAGAGCAATCCAGCTGATTCTACCACAAACAGTGAAAGGACCTCTCCACAGGATGATGGCTGTGCCCTCCCGTTGTGTTGTCCCACAGGTGCAGTTCGGTTGCCATGTACACGACATAGCCTCTGCTCCAAACACTATGAAGGGATGGTCACTGCTAGCCTCCTGCACAAAAATTGTGGTCCCTTGTCCTGTGCTCATCCCCCCCAACCCCTGATTACTTGCCCAGCATGCCATTGTGGCCTTGATCTGCCATGCTTAAATAACTGTGCACGATAGCCTTCCATACTAATGAGATGTCAGCAACATGCCGTGTGTCATCAATGCTTCCGGGAAGCTGTCATAGAAAGTATGTGTCTTTACTGCATGGACTATCCCCGGTGCCATCACCTTCACATCCTCTCCTCTCATGTCCCACATGTGGTGTTGGTCATACACCTACGACAACCACTGACAGATCTCCCTCTTTCTTGCCAGACGAACGGCGAACACAGCAGTCCGAGGAGGAAAATAGACTTCTATGTGAACCAACGGCAGAGCGATGTACTCATAGTGTATCACCACCAGGGGGAGCTGTTGCGGTGTTACATACTCGTGAATGCATCAACGAGTATGGGGAAGAACCAAAGATCAACCAGTATAGGAAGAGCATGTATGCAGCGGAAGTCTGATAAACGGACTGACTCACATAGACTGACTCACACAGATATCACTCCACGCATATACAATCGTGAGATGGTGGGGTCTGAGCCATGCATAGACGATGCTCAGGCCCCGTACACACATACACAGATGAAAGGTGGGAGGAGAGACGAACAAGGTGGGGGAGGTAGACAGCACCGAAGGTCACCGAGATAGAATCCGATAGGTCACCGATATGGTAGTCCAAAATGTCATCAAACAAGATGAAAATGTCGAGGACAATAAGTCACCAATGTCGGAGATACAGAGTCCTAATGTAAACGGTGTCCGAACTGTGATGCCGCCGAGTATCAACCCCAACAATCTCCAAGTCTCGAATCCGGTAAGTACCACAGCCTCATACCACCGAAGTCCAACACTGATCTCTGTCCAACTAGTATAAGTCTCCAATCTGAAGAAAAAGAAGAAGAAGAAGAAGTCTGAAGAAAGAAGAGAAGAAGAAGTCTGAAGAAAGAAGAGGAAGAAGAAGAAAAGAGAGAGAGAGATGGCAGAGGGGCAGAAGGAGGTGAGGAGGAGGGAACGGGACCGTGGAGGGAGGAGAAGAGATCCTCGCCTCCTGGTACCTGCCCTGCTGCTGTCGAGGCGGCTATGGCCGCCGTGCTGCTGTTGGTCTCCTCGCTCGCTGCCGCCGCTGCGCTAGCTCGCGCTGCTGCTGCTGCCCTCCACTCCTGCGCTCAAAATAGCGCTGCTGCTGCCAACCGATACGCACCGGCATAATGCTGGTGGCTCGATGCCTCGAAGTGAGGCCGGACCAGTACTAAGTACTGGTTCGAAGAAGACCGGCCTCAATGCTGCGAGGCCTCGGTTGGGTCTGAATCGTCCAGATTGACAATTCAGATCCAACCGGAGAGTGGCAGCCTCAAAGGCGCCGCCAGGCCCAAAACGAAAATGTCGTTTGGGCCTGGTCTGTCGGTCTGGTCCAAGTCGTGGCCTTTCGACCTGATAATCCCCCAAGGTCGGGCCTTTAGGCCCTAATGTGTCCCTCTAGCCCTAAGTCGGGTCCGGTAGGACCCGTGTGGCGTCGAAGATGTAACACACTCCCCCTCTTAAAAGACCGAGCTACCTGCGAGGGCGGAGTTGTCTGTCCGATACCGGGATGGGTCGGGCGGGACGAGCTGCTTCCTTGGCAAGGCGTCGCTTCTCATAGTCGGCGAAGATAAGGGGTGCAGAAGTCTGCAGGTCTGCACTAGAGATCCACCGAGGGTCGTCAGGCGCACATTGTTTGAATGTGACTTTGAACTGCATTGGCTTGTTGCCATACTTGCGGTGCGTGATGACTCGATCAACTTCCTGATGTCCGTCCATAGAAGGCGGATCCTGTGATCGATGGCCGGGGAACTCGTCGGCGGAAGGTGGCGTGTAGATGGCCAGCTTCGACGCGTGGAAGACCCGGTGCACTGTCAGGTGCGGAGGAATGTTGACCACAAAGGAAGGACCTGCGGGGTCGTCTCCAACGACAGAAGTGACTTTCCATGGTCCAAACCATTTCGGAAGGAGTTTGCGTGAAACGTCTTGCTCGAGCGCAAATTCCTCGGAGAGGACCCAAACAAGGTCTCCCTCGCGGAAAGGACATGGAAGTCGACGTCGGTTAGCTTGCTGTTGCATGCGGATTTGAGCCTTTTGCATATTCGCGCGGGCTTTGATCAGCAAGTCCCGGTACTTCCGAACGGAAGCGGAAGAGCAAGGGACGTCTATGTTGGCGGCCTGTGGCAGAAGGAGATCAGCGAAGATCCGTGCTTTCTCTCCACCATGATGTAGCTCGAATGGTGTGACGCAGATCGCCGGGTGCACCGAAGTGTTATAGGCGAACTCGATGTCGGGAAGCCGGTCAACCCAATCTTTCTGGTTGGGACGGATGAGCGTACGCAACATCATCTGAGCGGTTTGGTGTGCTCGCTCTGTCTGGCCATTCGTCTGCGGGTGCCGAGCCGAGCTCGGCTTCATTGTCGTACCGGACTCAGCCATAAGGGAAGTCCAAAAAATCGACATGAAGCGAGTATCTCGGTCGCTCGCTATGTCTTCCGGAACACCCTGGTTGGTAATCCAACCGGTGTGCAAGAGTCGTGCGAGCTCAGGCGCTGCAGCATGATACTTGCAAGGACGGAAGCGAGCATACTTGCTCAAACGGTCAACGACCGTGAGAATACCGTTATGGTCATGGCGATCACGGGGAAACGGGCCTGTTACGTCCATAGCAATGGAGAGGCGCGGTGCCCGAGGAATCGGCAATGGTTTCAGTTCGCCGAAGAGGACTCAAGATCGACCCTTGTTACGGTGGCAAACTACACATGACTCAATGTACCTCGTGACGTCATGAAGGACGTCGGGCCAGCGAAAACGCTGGCGGAGACGTGCTAATGTGCGGTTCACGCCAAGGTGTGCCGAAAGTCGTGCATCGTGGAATTCGCCGGGAAGACGAGTCCGTAAGATGCGATCTTGGGGCACAACTAACAAGTCCTTTCCTCTCGTGTGAAGGAGAAGGAACSCGTCGGAAATCCGATAGTGGCTAGCCGGCRGGTGATCCGATGAAAGCTCCGCGTAAAGCGTAGAGTAAGTCGGATCGGACTTGTAGCCTTTGACGAAATGTGGCTGCAGATCGTCATCGAGGTCGAATGTCGTGGTCACAATGGCAAAAAAATCGGGCCGTCGTGAGAGGGCGTCCGCAACTCGATTGGCGGGACCGGGAATGTGGCACGGGTCAAAGTCGAACTGGTCGATGTAATACATCCATCGACCGATCGTGTTAGTGACCGTATCCTGCGTTTTATAAAAGATCAACGGATTGTTGTCCGTATTCCATTTAAAACGCCGACGGTCGAGAAGAAAGTGGCGCCATCGTTTGAGAACGGTAACGAACGCGAGTAGCTCTTTCTTCCTAGCGTCGTCGAGAGTGTTGACGAAAAGCACCTTTTGGGAGAAATACTCGACCGGATGCCAACCGTCCTCGTGACACTATTCCAACACCGCACCAATACCGTATCCCGAAGCGTCCGTAATCACTTGGGTAGGAAGGGTGGGGTCGTACATACGGAGGGCAGGTGCGGCTTGCATCGCTGCCTTCAACGTAGTGAACGCGCCACGGGCTGCGTCGTCGAACTTGAAGGGCACCTTCGGGGACTGAAGTCTCGACAAAGGAGCGGCCACTTTCGAGTATGACTCGACAAATCGCTGATAATATCCAGCTAAACCCATGAAAGAGCGTACATCCGTCGTGCAACGGGGTTCCGGCCAATCCACGATGGCTTGGATCTTGTCCGCTAAGGGACGAATGCCTTTCGGCGTGACAAAATGACCCAAGTACTCAAGCTCCTGCTTGGCGAACTTGCACTTGTCGAGATTCGCTTTGTACTTGGCCAGTCGCAAACGATCCAAAACAGTGCGAAGGTGTACGATGTGCTCGTCCAACGTCCTACTATAAACCAAAATGTCATCAAGGTTAATGAGGACGCTGCGATCGAGCAAGTCGTGAAACTCAGTCGTCATAGCGCTTGGAAAGTCGCGGGGGCATTGGTGAGGCCAAATGGCATGACAACCCACTCAAAATGCCCGTACTGCATCTTGAACGCGGTCTTGTACCGATCTTGAGGCTGGATTTCAATCTGGTGGTAACCCGACTTCAAGTCCAACGTCGAGAAGTACGTCGCGCCGCCTAACCGCTCAAGGAGATCATCAATCCGAGGGAGAGGGCCGACGTTCTTTACGGTTTGTGCGTTAAGTTTGTGATAATCAATGCATAACCGTAGATCTTTGTCCTTCTTCCGGACGAAGAGAACAGGGGCACCGTATGGCGAGCAACTAGGGTAAATCCAGCCCTTGTCGAGAAGGTCATCGAGTTGTGCGCGAAGCACCTCGAGTTCCTCTTCGCTCATGCGGTAGATGCATCCACGTGGAGGGACGGCGCCAGCCTCGAGAGTGATCCCGTGACGTATGGGCTGATCCGGAACCGTTCCGGTGGGAGCCTCGACGACGTCTCCATACTCGTCCAAGAGGTGAGCGATGCGTGGGTCCGGCGGTGACCCGGCTGGTCCGTCCGACGAGGGGAGAGCATGCAAGAATACAAGGCCCATCTCCTTGACGTCATTCCGAGCTATGGCGTCGCGAATTCTCGCAACGGAAACCACGTGACAAGCAATCGAAGTGTGAGGRGTCGCRACCRTACATGGGACTAACACTCYGTTCCGATCACGGATGTGAACGGTYCGGTCRTGRAAGTTCACYGGATGATCGGCKCTACGCAACCAAGACATGCCTAGAATCATGTYGAACTTGGTGTCGAGGATGTCAAAAGACACCGGCTCGCACGCAAGTGGCGCAAAGTATACCGGAACGCCGTCGACGCATCGGTCAATCAACTTTTGCGTGCGGCCGTCCGCGAGTGTAACTTGCGTGGGTTGCGTCTTCCTTTGAACGCGCGGGCCAAGGCCTGCGCAGGCCATAAAGGCTTGGCTCATAAAGTTGCGAGACGCTCCGCAATCAATCAAGGCATTACAGGTTGCCTTTTCGATTTGAATGCGGATATAGAGCAAAGGAGCGTCGGTTTCGGCGTACCTTTGGGTGGCGTACTCTCGGTCAATCTTCGCAAGATAGGAGCGGAGATCCACAACCGCTACCCCATCGTCGGTCAACGGAGCTGGTACTGTAGTGTGCAAATAGGAGCGTAGATTTGCCATCAAGGCGTTGCAATGCGACCTTGGCAAGGTTTCGGTCGAGGGTAGAGGCATCCAAGTGAAGTCCTCTCTCGTGAGCGGGTCAAGCTCCTCAAGTCTTGACCTCGTTGTCGAGTCCTCGGAAATCAGTGGTGAACTGACCGGATCACTTGGTCTAGTGGTGGTACCAGCTGGGCGGCATAATCCTTGTACGTAGCACGAGAATCAGCGACTCACGCATGCTCCCCGGTAGTGACATCGATTGCTAGCAAGGCAACCGGGTCCGGCGGAGTGAGGAGAGACGTCACCCCTCTCCTTGCGTAACTCAGTTTCCCGAGTTAGCTGGACGGGGTACGCGTGCCTTGCCCTTTTCGGGGCATTGTGCGGTCAAGTGAGTGACTCCATTGCACCAAAGGCAATATCTGTACCGTTGACGAAGGTCATAGATTTCCTTGGTTATCTTGTATGCCGTCCATGGCTGCTGCCCAGTTCCCGTCGATGCCGTCTCTTGTGTCGCCTTGTTCTTCCGAACTCTCTTGGGATGCTTCGGCAGGAGCGCTGCTACAATTCCTCCATCACTCGAGGATGCTGCTGCAGCGCGGAGATCGTCTGTTTCCTCCGAAGTCACGACATTGTTATGTGTCGGTCGTTGATAGCCCTACTTAGCCACATAATGCGGCTGGGACTGCCGTTCGTTTGCGGCCTTGTCATCCGTTTGGATGACCAAGTTCGCACGATCCAGGATGGCCTGGAATGAGGCGTAATCGTACTCGTTGCCGAGTGCGGTTAGCAGTCCGGCGCACGATCGCGAGAAGAACTCGGATCGTTGGTTATGAAAACTCAAATCGAAGCCTGGCGTGGTCACTATCTTTTGCCACTTGGTTGTCCAGTCTCGAGTTGGCATACTTCCTTGCGAGCAGGTGTATACCTCGTTCATGGCCGCCTTCACGACGTTGTGGACCATGAAGCGAGTGAACCACAGTTGCTTGAACTCCTTCCACGTGATGTGTGTGTGGAGTTCGGCGATGGTGCATTTCTTGGTAGCCGCCAGATGGTTCATCCATGCCTGCGCTCCTCTAATCAGTTGTAAGTAGAGCGCCTTCATCATGTCGTTAGCCGGGACAGTGTGGCATGATGCTTCCGTGAGGGAACTTTGCCACAATGTCAAGGCGTCCGTCTTGTTGTAGTCGTCGAACTTGCTGATGTTGAAGTGCGGCATCTTGTAATTCTTTGTAGTGGCGTCCGGTCTCGTCTGCAGTTTGGTGATGCTCGTCTTGATGGCGGCCACCGTGCTGCTGATCGTGGCCGGACTAGTGAAATCACCTAGTTCGCCAATGATAGTGACGACGTGATCGATGCGCTCGTTGAGCTGCTTCGTCGCGTCTGTCGTGCAGCGTGGCGCTGCTGAGGCCTTAGCCTCCATGCTGTTGATGCGTGTGAGAGTGGAGTTCAACAGCTGCTGTTGTTGCTGCTGCTGTGTTGCTGCGGCGCGAACGGCAGCTGTTAAAGCGGCCACGTCTTGCTGGTGCTTTTGTCTTTGCTGTCGTTCCGTGCGCAGGTGTGCTTGCAGCAGTGTGTTATTCCACATGATTCCCCTCATCATGCCCAGCAGCAAGTTAGCCAGGTTACTTCTCTCTGCCTCCGCCGGTGTCGGATCCGCCTGCGCATCCATAGGCACAAAGATCATGCCTTGGAGTAGCGTTGTCCACTGATTCTCACTATGAATCAGGGACTCCGTGCTGGCGGCATTCCGTCTGTCTCGTGCCGCTGCGTCAGCCTCAGCAGTCTGCTGAGCTTGGGCTGCCGCCTCATTGGCCAGCCGCTGACGTTCTGCCTCTGCTGCCTCCTGCTGAGCCTTGGCGGTAGCTACGGCATCTGTGAATACCTGTAGCCGCCCAAGGTAGTCAGCCAACGGTTCAAGGGTCCCTTGGACCGGACATGCGGGAAGAACTCCGGTGGTAACCGGTACTGTCAGTGCTGTACTCGATGCCGCTGGAGTCGTCCGCTTGCTGAGTCGCTGTTGCTGATACTTGGTTTGTGGAGGTACCACAGAACGGGTACGAACTGCAAGCCTGGCACTGCGTCGTGGCAGTGCCCCGGTGTCCTGTTCCGTCGACATCAGCTCTAGCTGATGTGGTATTTGAGAAATCCCGGTGGTCACAGATTACGGGGAGGGTAGGGAGAGTGGGAACAGGGGTAGAACAATCAAGCACTTCGCATACAGTCCCTGTCCCACTGATGGACTTTAGACACCTAATCAAACAGAAAAAGATAAATTTTCCCGTAAACAACTCAAAAATTTGTAATAAGAAAATAATAACGAATTATTTAAGGGAAAATTTTCGAAATGCCCCTGAAGTTTGCATTAATTTGCGATTTGCCCCTCCAACGGCCAACTGACCCTGATTTGCCCCTGGGCCTCTGAACTTTCGAACAGACCCCTGTCAGTGAGGGGCACAACTTTTTGGAATGCCCCTACCCGACCGGCTGTCCTATTTCCCCTGCGGCCTGTCCGATTTGCCCTTCTGTGGGGGATGCATCTTCCTGCGATGCCCTCCAGGGGGGAGGCACGAAGAATTTGAATTCCAACCCCATACTTTTCCAAATCGCTGCGCAAAAAAAAAGGCTGTACACCATGTCATGTCTGCTGCTGCAATCCACCGTGTAGTGCATTCTTCAGCTACGGCGACCCGCCGCCGCCTTGGACGTCCGCGGAGTACGCTGGCTAAGGTCAGTGTTCCTCCCCTTGTTCCACGCCTCTCTCTCTCTCTCTCTCTCTCTCTCTCTCTCTCCCTCTCTCTCTC